ACCAGTGCCAAGGTTATGCGGAAGCTTGACCGCCGGGCCCTCTCGCTCTCAATTGCTGGATATCTCTGTGTGTGTCACGTGCTAGGAGAGTGATCAGTGCCGGGGGTGTTGCGTGTGTGTGCGTGCGCCAGGTTTAGATGTAGCCCTACGGCGCGTGACGGTATACCGATAACGCCGCATAGCTGGAGAGCGCGTCGTCACATGCCAGTGCCGTTTGTATAGTACATATATATATATACGCCGGAGTCACGCAGAAGAGTATGCATGATAGGCACTTCGGGTTGTTTGCTTTGCCTTTCAGAGATAGCAGGGCGGGAAGTAGACCCATCTGTGATAGCGAATCTGCGACTGAAGCGGTCGCGAAGCTAAGGTGCTCAGATGGCTATGGTCCGATTGTGCGCTCGCCGGAGTGAAGAACAAAAATGTGGTCTGGTCTCGTAAACATTCGAACTGGTCTAGACTGGGTTGCGCTGACGCGTGGAAAACAAGATGCTGTTTACGTAAAGCAGTGGTAGATATGTGTAAACCTACTTATTCCCATCGGGCTCCGTGCTTCGAAGATATTGTACGGTACCGCGGGGTCATAAAGTCAAGTGGCAACGGTACAGCGCTTTCAAGATGTCCTGTGGGGTATGCAAGATGCGCTTCCTTCACTAGAATTTTAAAACTGCGCCGCTGCGTGCTCGACTGAAACTGACGCTGCTCTTGTCGAGAATTGCTGCAGATTATCGCTGATATGCTGTGACTTGCTCTGCCTAGAGACGGCGCTCCCATCGACTTTGTAAAGTCAAGGCTGAAGTGTTCAGTGACGAGAGGTTTTAGAAACTTACCAGCTTGCTGAGCCGTAACCTCATTAGTATAGTCATATCATTAATTCTTGGGGTTTAACGTCCCCTAAACCACCATATGCGAGTACGAGAGACGCCGTAGTGGAGGGCTCCGGAAATGTCGACCACCTAGGGTTCTTCAACCTGTCCTTAAATCTAAGCACACGGGCCTGAAGCGTATCAATTGAAAATGCGGCTGCTGCGGTCGGGAATCGATCCCGCGACCTGCGGGTCGGCAGTCGAGCACCACTCCTACTAGACAACCGCAGCGGGTCAGTTCGTATAATCAGGCAAATATTTTTGCATATTTTTTTGTTAGCAAAAAAAGTCTTTCTCAAGTTTCTGTACATAGCCGGATACAGCCGTTGCGCCACTGCAGCTTTTCGAAGCGGAAAAAAAAAAACGCTGCAGTTGGCCAATCGGAGCTGACAAGACTACACATTCGAACATCACAGGCGGAACCTGCTGCTGTCTATAGAGCAGCACCCTCGTCTAATTGATTGATATGTAGGCTTTAACGTCCCGAAACCATTATATGAATATGAGAGGCGCCGTAGTGGAAGGCTCCGGAAGTTTAGACCACCTGGGGTTCTTTAACGTGCACCCAAATCTGAGCACACGGGCCTACAAGCATTTCCGCCTCCATCGGTAAATGCAGCCGCCAGCAGCAGGGATTCGATCCCGCGACCTGCGGGTCAGCAGCCGAGTACCTTAGCCACTAGACCACCGTGGCGGGGCAGCACACTTGGCTAAAGCCAGCGTCCTTTCAGTGCTGAATGAACCGGCATGCTCGGAAACTTTCACGGGCACTAGTGCCAGAATTCGCCTCTGGTGGCCTTCGTGAGAAACTCTACCGCTGACAGCACTTGTTGCTAGGCGCGCGCCTGCTGTAATCTCAAAGAATACGTTTTCTTTTTAAAGATGTCTCGCGGCTATGGCCCCGTACGGTCGGTATCTGCATACGTGGTGCACGTGTTGGGTCACTTGGCGATAGCGTGCGCTTTTCATCTAGCGGCAGCAGTTGCACCACCGATTCTGAAGATAACGGAACGTACCAAAGAAGAGAGCAGAGGGGACACGGTCCTTGCATGAGGGTGCCTCTCTGCCGCTGGCTTATAATCTCTCGCGACGAGTGCTTTCCACTTAGCCAGGCAGCTAAAGATAGGACATGCAAATCACTGGCGGCACGGAACATCCACCTCCTCCTTTCGTTGACGGACTAGAGAGGCCAGGCCGGTGATAACAACAGTCTCCGGCTCCAAGTGTCCGGCTCCAAGTGTCCGCATAGTTTTTCAGGAGTGCAGAATCACGCTGTACTGAAAGCATATCGCTTGTTGAAATCAGTAGCCGATTGTCGCATCCTCCTCAAGTAAAGCTCAGTGAATCCGCATGACGCACTGCCAAGTGAACGGAAAAAGAAAAAAAAAAAAACGCTCAGGAGCCAGGCACTCGACGAAAGTGCTGTTCGACTCGCTAATAGGTTTGCGTTTGCACTTCGCCCTGTGAGCACAGCTGAGTACCGGTGTTTTCGCGTCAAGCGCTCTAGCCACTTATCAGGATGCGCAACGATGTGCGCCTGGCTCTTAAACGAGTTATGCCTGCAGTATGCGCACACGCTTTCCCGGACACCCTCCCGCGGTACACCACAGATTAGAAGCTGTGAAAGCTGATTAGTCCCCGATAAGACAGTACTGCAAGCCGCAAGTCACTCGAACCGAAACTGAATAGATGGGTGTCTCTAAAGAGCCGTTGTGTATTCCGGGAAGGCTCTCGTCAGGCGTAAATAGGAGGAGCGTGTGCGTGCGAGTAGGGGAGGGAAGACACTTCGAAAAGGCTATATAGCTTCTGTCAACAGTAGTGATAGCTGAGACCGCAATCATGAGCAGTAGCGTTACATACGTAGTCGACACGGCAATCGTGCAGCGAATTATATCTTCCGCGTGAAGTGGTGATCGTGCTAAATATACACTTTGTCACGTTCTGGTACCCGCCTCTCCCGAATTTCTGTAGGATCGGCTGGCTATCCACCTACAGGGCAGCTATAGCTGCGAATAAACGTTGCTTTACGACACGGACTCGTACGTCGAGTCTTCTTGCCCCATTGGTAATGTGGTAACCTTTTTGATTGATTGATTGATTGATTGATTGATTGATGGACAAGTGAAGTTCAACGTCCCGAAACGACCATATGATTATGAGACACCCTAGTGGAGCGCTCCGGAAATTTCGACCACTTGGGGCTCTTTAGCATGCACCCAAATCTGAGCACACAGGCCTACAGCATTTCGCCTCTATCAAAAAGGCAGCCGCCGCAGCCCGGATTATATCCCGCGACGTGCGGGCCAGCAGCCGAGTACCTTAGGCACTAAACACCAAGGCGGCGCGTGGTCATCTAGTGACGGGATGCTCATAACTAAAACGGGAGAGTCCGATTACGGGGATGTGCGAACACGATGTGGCACCCAGTGGTTAATTTGTGCGCATGCACTTTCACTTCGTAAACAGGTTCTACGTCTCGACACTTGGCTTCACGTTATAGTTGACCGCCTTGGTTGCGACAGCAAAAGACCCCGCGGGAAATGTGTTTATAGCACACGTAGGCTGGCAATATGCGAAGAAAGCGTCAGCGGAACGATTGTATTCGCTATGCTACGCAAAAGAAAGGATGGAGGAAAATACCGCAATGCCTGCGCAGCAGGGCACTAAGGTTGAAAGCTTACGCAACTGTGCCATAATAAGCTGAAAACATGCTTAGAAATGAAAACAAAGCTTTGAAAGACTCATAAAATGCAACTCTATACATATGATGCAGAAGTGCACACTAGAACCGGTCGTTTTGAATAAATAACAGTCGATATCCAGAACAACCTTGACTGATGGTTTCCTTACGTCATTCTTCTTGAGGCTGTTGGCAATTTTTTATTGCGATAGCAATTATAGTGACCCTCTCGGCTGGATTTTGCCGCTAGCGTTAACGTCGCCGTCACTCACTGTATATGTATTCGTATCTCTCTATATATGAAAACGCAAGAAATAAAAATAACCCAGAAAAAGACTCCGGCGCACGGAATCTAACGTGGGACCTCTAAAACGTGAGTGCGACCCGTAAACCACTGAGCCACGAAGGTAGCAACTCGTGCAAAATTCAAGCGGCAAGCTATTTATATCTACCACTTACTGCTGGTGACGGGCATCTCGGGGAAATTTCGTCTTTTCAGCATTACCGGCAAGACCAGCATTGGCGCACTGAGCGCGCGTCGTCACATCATCACGACACAGTGGCGCACACTCTCATCTCTCACGCGTACTTTGCCTCGCGGAGAGGAGGGGATGGACGCTAACTCGCGCGCCCTTATCTCGCGGTGGGGAGGATCGCGTGTCATGGCTGGCCTCGTGCTTTCAGCGGAACAATTTTGTTGTAGTTACCGGGCGCACAAAGGTCACTGCAATTGTTGTGCCGTCTTCGTTCGCGATATCTACCACTTACTTCTGGTGCCAGGCATCTCGGGGGGGGGGGGGGCTATAATGTTTTCAACATTACCAGCAAGAAGACCAATGAGCGCGCGTCGTTACATAGTCACGATGCGGCGGCGCACGCCCATTTCTCACGCGCACTTTGCCCCACGTACAGAATAAGAGGGCGGGTGCTCCTACTTTGCAGTGGGGAGATTCGTAGGTCTCGCCTAGCCTTTGGGTTTCGCCGGAACAATTCTGTTGTAGTTACCAGACGCACAAAGGTCATTGCAATCGTTGCACAGTCTCTGTTTGTGAAAAGAGCGCGCTTTTCAGGCACAGTGAAGTAACAACTGAGACGCTAATTCCCGTTTATCTGTATCTGTGAGTATGTTTCGTGTCATTTGGAGCACGAGAAACGTGGAGCACATTTAGATCTGCTTTTCAGTCTGCACGTGACCTTTTAATGTGTTGCTACTCTGTCTATCGCTTTGCCTTTGTGGCAAAGCTGTGACTTTTTTCAGACATGTCGCCCATCAAAGCTTACGCTGTTGTGTCGAATCCCCTTAGATCTTCTCCGGTCTTTTTGCTGGTATTAATTTTACTAATTATTATTATTATAATATTAGTAATATAGTAATTATGATGATGATGTAAAAGCCAGACACTGTTTGTTGATATCAGTGTTCTCACTCGCCACTGTTTTTGTTCTCTGCGCAGGTGATCGCCCGCGGCGAACACATGTCGCTCGCCAAGTACAAGTACGTGGATGCCACTGGCAGCCAAAAGTGAGTGTTATACTGCGCTTCCTCGCACGTTCAATAGAATCGCGTTACTCTGCGGAAGTCTTCAATGCTAGCTTCAGCGCTTTCGTTCACAATCGCGGTGCATTCACGCCCTTATTGCTGTGCTGTCACGGTACAGACAATGCATGCACGGCCGGCGCGTGGAGGGTTACAAAGTCTCCTATGTATGTTGTCGCAGGAACAATGAATCCAGTGGACAAAACGATGTCATGCCCCGCTCACCTCTGCCGTTGAGCTAAGGCCGCGTTTTGACCTCCTGAACCCTAACACATTTTATGCAAAGCTTGCGAACACTTTTCTCTCTCTTAACACTGCATATGTTTCTCGGGTGGGGTGACAACGTTCTTCATTGTGCACTCTTTCATTGGTTCTGCTTGTGGGTGCGAATGAGCGTCTCCTCTCGTCTCGCAGGATCTGGGAAGTGGCCGAACGATGCCAGAAAGCCAAGAGCAGCGAGTCTGACTGTAAGTGCAGTTCAGTATATCTAAAGATGCGGCAAAATGTGCAGCGCTACTCAGTCAGGTTACACACTGGGCGCATGCTTAGATTACACTTCCTGCTTCTGTTACTATTCTGTTCTGACAGCCCAAATAAGATTTACCGTAATGTAGAAGGCATGCGAATTGTTTCTTGATGAAGTTGAACTCCCATTTATTGGGCTGCCTTCAAAAATCAGCAGGACATGCTCGAGGAAAGAAACGGCATGTAAATTCTGCGTCAGTGAAGCTATCAAACTCGTATGTGTGCACACACTTTCACAAATATGATTCGGATGAAAGAAAACAGAACCTTGGGGCTTGAATGTGAATGTGCAAGTATATGTATAACAAGCATAGTTTATAATGCAATAAAACTGCGATCGACCCTGAAAGTATAGCACCTATTCTATGTAGCCTATAGTCCGATTGTCCCTTTTGCAGAAATCAGAAATACTTTTCTTTTCTAATGAAATTGTTGGGGGGGGTTCCTTCAGGCGAAAAGCTGCATAGTACAGCTTGAATGTGCCTGAAGGCCCTCACATGGCAGCAGTAACACTAAAACCAGCATACATACACATGTTTAGCATATATCCAAATATAATACATCATTTTAATTGAAACTAAAAATTTGCAACATGTTGAATAACACTAGTGATTTCCTACAAACACATGGTGTTTAAGAATACCATAGAAATGCAATACATATGTGAGAAGAAATGTGACAATACATTGTGATACATCAGAAACAATAGTATTTACAACATTAAGAAAATCACTGCTATAAATATGACTATGATGCACAATATGATACTTTGTATATTAAAACACTGAGGCAAAGTGGATAATACAACAGAAAAGGTGAAAATGTAATAACGATGTCTTTTATATGTTCATTCAGATTTAAAAAAGTATTCTCTAATTTGTTTGCGAGTCGAAGTATTTGGAATAAATCTTTCCCCTTCCACTTTATTTAACAACGAAGGTATGCTATGTCCTAGTGACTGCATAAGATAAGTTGTGCGTCTGAATGGTACTAACCACCTGTCTTGGCTACGAGTCGCGGAGTCACTTTTTTTTTATTCGAGTCGTGAGGTATGTTTTAAGGATTTGATTTTGTCTGAGCCGAAACAGAATGAATATAAAAGTCGGTATTCGTAAAGATTTGACTGCACGTATAATATTATGTTTTTGAAAAAGTTGCACGACTGGGATAAAAATGGGGTACATTGGCCATTTCTCGAAGCACGGGTTTTTGAAGTTGAAGAAGTATACGAATATTAGCTTTCGTTAATGACGTTTTTCCACTTTCATCTATTCTGTGTGCGCTATCTCAAGATAAACATTGCAGCACCTGTCTGTGCCTTTAGTGAAGTCTTTCTATTCTGCGTCGTTCTTCGGATTGTACGAATCGGATTGTACAAGGTCCTGATACTTAGACCCCAAGCGAACCCCATTGGTTCAACTCTATCGTTTTGGAAATTCGATGGAGTCTGGACAATGCACTTACAGTATGCTCCCCTGCGTGCATTCATCTATACGATGTTCATTCATTGTTTATCTTTTCGCAGCCGTCTGTGCTATTCCCATTCTTAAGCGCATGCTCAAGTATGACTGCCTGGTTCTCGTCAAGCAATACCGGCCATCCATGAAAGCCTTCACCCTGGAGTTCCCTGCTGGTGAGACGCCAATTCTGTTCGACACATAATAAGTATACAGAAATGCACATCTAGGAGAAGGAAGCAAACAGAAAGGTAGTAGGCAGAGAGGTTAACCAGAAAGCCTTCTGGTTGGCTACCGTACACTGGGGGATCAAGGAGGAAGTGGAATATCAAGATGTGAAAGAAAGAGGGAAGAGAAGCAAAAAAATCTGAGATATAGGCAATGATTTCACAGCAACGTGTGGAACTTCATTGCAGGCCAGAGGCATTCATACAAGCCTGTTGTCCTTTGAAAAGCGCAAGAATTAGGCTGCCTCGTCGGCTGTCGAGAGATGAACGGTGCTAACATACATCTAATCCGACATGCATCAGCCGGGGATCACTCGTTTGTTATTGTACTAATAAGTCATGATTGGATAGGTTGGGTTACTGTGCATTTTGGTGGATAGTGTGCGAAAGGTGGTGGGCAGGGGGGGACGGGGAGCAGGAAATTATGTGGACGGATGAGATTATGAATTCGTTCCAACTAGGCCGACTCGCAGTTTTGCTTGAGACTAAGAATTGTGAGGGGATAGCATGGCCCAGCAGGCACACGACCGTGCTAATCGGAGAAACGTGGGAGAGGTCTTTGCCCTGCATTAGGCGTAGCGAGGATGATGGCGACGATGATAATGATGCTTACATGAAGGTTGGATGAAGACATACATTCATCTATATACATTTCTTGAAGGCAATGATCACATGAAGGTGCAATATCATGAGGTAAGCTTCCTGGTGCGTTGAACACTTGGAGATAAGTAATGCAAACAAGTTCTGCAGACCCCCAAAAGGTGGCGGATCTCAATCACCTTGCGTGTAATGGTGTCACCTTGCATCTAATTTTCCTTTCTTAACGCTTGGAGATTTTAGCCATTTTGCATGCTGCGTGAAAAACTGTGCCTCATTCTACAACTATTCGTAGATAAATTTTCTTAACCATTAAAAAATAATTCGCACATAGCTATGTCCTTCTTAATGTGGAGAAACATCCCAGAGTAAAGAGTGACACAGCATAAAGTATTGTCGGTGCCCTGTTCCTCCCTTCCGGTTTTTTAGCGACGGCGATCCCGCACCTGTTTTAGAGGTGTCAGCTGCTATTCATAACTTCAAAAAACAAAAATACTTATCCTACACATGATACTGAAGCTTACCATAGAGCTTCATTTAGTAACGGTTTCGTGTCTGTTTTCTTTATTCTCTATGTAGGCGTCGTAGAGCCAACAGACCAGACATCGGAGGCATCCGCTTTGAGGCGGCTCAACTCCCAGACCGGCTACACTTGCACCGGCCTCAAGAAGACCAGCCCCCGTGAGTAAACAACACATTGAGCTTTTAACGTTAGTCCTTTACCTTATAGTCTAATGAGCCATTACATTAGACAAACCTATGTGGACCACTTTTCTTAAAACTTCGTATTTTCTATTTTCTTAAACAACGTATATGGTGAACGGCTTTTACAGTTTGTCGGTATTAAAATCTGGAATGTTATTCCCTTTGAAATAAAAATGTGTTCAAATTTCATTAAGGCACTAGAAAAACACTACTTAGAAGAATGTACTGGTTTATTAATGTCCTATCATAATTAGTCTGATGATTGTCTTGATTTCAATATGTAAGTAGGTGTTTATTCCGTTTTCGTTCTCTCGTGCATTATAACGGTTTAGTGTGGTTATTTCATGCACTCTAATGTTTCTTTGCCGATTCTTTATTACATTAGATTGTAAAAACTTCAGTTATTCTTTATTGATATTGTATAACTTTTTCGGTTACACTTTTCCGAAGTGCCTTTATAAAATCTTTCTTTTTTGGACCCAAACTAGCCTATGGCTATGGGCCCACGCAGTGTATGCAAATTTTTTGTAAAAAGTGTGACCAATTAATTAATTCAATTCAATTCAATTCTCAATTCTCTGCAGTGACTGCCTCTGATCCAGTCCACACAGCGTGCACGACGAAGCTCGTCTCGGTCGACGTGAGTAATTCATTCATTCATTTTCGGAGCTTTAATGCCTGAATGTGTTCAGGAATGGAGTGGCTACGAAATATCGGAAGGTAGAATGTGGCGTTAGTTCACGAAATAACACGGCAGTTGCAGCACGCCATGGTCGATTTTCCGGCAGCTTTAAATGCAGAAGTCGTAAAGGGTTTGACGTGGACATCGCAGTCCCGGGCCAGTAAGTCGCAGTCTTTGGAATGAAGCATAAAAAAAGCGTGGAGGGGAGGGGGGCTTCACAGAAACAAATTCTTGCTGCAGTTCCTACATGCGTGCGATTGCTCACTATTAGGTTCTTTCCGAGTTCTACATTGTGAAGGTTGCATAAAGTAACAATAAATGAAACATCTAAATTTACTGAGTAAGAGAAGGTCAGCACAGTCACCTTAGGATACTTTGTCATGATTTGCTGTTGGCTATGCTGTGTACGCCTTGTGGGAACGCAACCCTGCAGGAGTTGAGGATCATTTAAATAGGAGATGAAGCATTGCTGGAAGCGCTGATTATCTGTCATTGCCTTGTTGATTCATATCTTCATCATTTTTTATCTCTTGTGACTTTCTAAACAAAACACCATCAGGAAGAAACTAACGTGCATTGAGTGAACGTGAGGTGTACCTAATTACTCACTGGTATATTTTCTTCTGCAGATAAACGGCGATGATCTTCGCAATCTCAACGCCCAGCAGAAGTTCGGTGAAGGAGGTCAGTAATGCCTTTCAGGCAAAAAGAAAATATTTCATGCCTCGTCAAAAGCTAGAAATGACAATCGGTGACCTAGGATGTTATGAGTATGTCAACATGCGAAGTCGTGACATTACAGGTCACTGACATTTGTGAAGTCATTATTACGTCACATGATGACGCCATCACATTTCAGTCATCACATTTCACATCGCATTTTATTCGAAAAAGACGGGACACCCCAGGATGCGCTGACGTTGGGTGCAGAAAGCCTTGGAGGATTGAGGGGGGGGTAATTAATACAGTCGGAGAAGTTGTCATTTGCCTTTGATTCGTCTTGGGCGAATGTATATTTGACCGTGTGACCTTGTTTCTTGAAATTACAATACTATCACTGATATCTTACAGTTAAGTGCCCTGAACACACTTATGGATTCTTTGCGCTGGCATCTAGTGCCCGCAAGAACGTCATTTCCGGACCTACCACTGCGTTGTATAGGCATACGCTTAAGGTCATTTTCTTTGGAAGCTGTCAACAGAGCTTGCAAGATAACACAACTATGGGGAAGGTAGGGCGTACTTCCGTAAAGAGCTATCACAGAGTCATCACACTTACACAAAGAAGTACTGTACATACTTTCGGTTGTTCCACCACAGAAAGCCAACTAGTAGTTCGCATTCGATGCCTATAGACAACCGGACAGTGCATGGCGGATATGTCCAGACGTATACATGCTGCCTAGTCTATCATACCTTTGTAATCGATCTGTTCTCAAATGACGAATATTGTACAGCTAATAAAAATATGACATCAATTATCATGCACATTATTAGATGCCAAGTGTGAATCTAGAATATATGCAGGTACCACACCCATTTACTCTTTAGATCGTTCTGGTATACAAGTGCTGTACAAACCTACTGTAGTGAAATTTGGAAGAAAATGAACAAGAAATCGTTCGAATACTTTCTTTGCTTCATTTTGCAGAGTTCTATGAAGTAGTCCAGGTTCCCATGAACGATGTCCTTAAGCGGTTAAATGGTAAGTCCTCCATTCTCGCAATATTTTAAATAATGGAAATGCTCAAGAAGCACTTATACACAACGTTTTTATCACCTACGCTTCAAGAATTTTAGAGAAGAGTGCTTTTTGAAGTAAGAGAGAATATTGTTCTTTATACTTGGACTCTCGAAGTCCGTCGAAGTGATAATACTTTTCCCCACTTTGCTCATGCAATTATTCTACATAAGCTAGAAGTCGTGAAAAAAAAATTACTAGTTTTAGTCCCTTCAGCTGTCCCGTATATATCTTTCAAAAGTTTTCTTTTTCACAAAGTTTGTAATATTCTTACTTTTTCTTCACAAAGTTGCGCCTCTTTGTTTCAGTTTTATAGAGGTGCAAGTTCACAAAGCTTTTCTGGAATTGGCCTGGCATAGTGAAACTCAGATAAGGCAATTTAACAAATAAACAAATAATTGTTGCAGATATAGTTTGAATTCACAATGTTGTATCTGTTCATACTTTCTCTGTTTCATTTAAAATTTCTGACTTTTGTACCTGTTATGGTGTAAGCGAAAAAAGTGTACATATTAGCTAAGGTACTCTTTATTGTTCTCATTAATAAAAATTGTATTGTTATGAGGAAGTTGAACGGATGAAAAGCTACCACGATTGGAAACGGTTGTCCAATCAGATGAGCAATAGCTGCGACATTAATTTGTGTTTTATTTGCACTATAGACGGTATATATATCCTTCATACATTCATTGATGCAACTGAATTAGGAGGAAAACCCTCGCAAAAGGAAGTGTACGAGTTCGTGTGGCGCATACCATACTTCTTGCATATTTGTGCACCGGAGCATTAGCTTTGCTACTTGAAAGCCAACTTTGCTATTGATAAATGTCAAGCTAATTGCACGTAATAAACGTTGCACTCACGATGGTGAAGCATTATGAATAACAGACTCCAGAAAAACACAAGACAGGGCGCTTCTTCGTTCTTTGTATAGTGCTTCATCATTCAGAACGTGCACCGACAGGCCAAACCGGCAAATCGTCCTAAAGCTTAAGTTGACATGGAGAATCGTCAACAGTTCTTTTTTTCATTGTCTCCCAAACACACATGCGCAGAGTACACCGAGGAGGGCTACGTCATCGACTCTCGCGTCTACACCTTCGCCCTGGGTCTGTCCATGGGTCTCCGAATGGGCGCCGAGCAGAACGGCGACAAGGAGGACGACGTCCAGATAGTGACCAACATCATCGACCACTAGTAATACAAGATGGCCACGTCTTCACCGGTCTTGGACTCGCCGCCTCTACTCTCTTCAGGACACTGTATCTTCCTCGCTCGATGCTGACAAGCGTGGAACCGTGCTACACTGCACTGTCACTGAGGAAGTTTTACCCAATGCTTTCGATCAACCTCTGAAGAAAACCAAGTTTAAAAGCCTCCAATTAAACTATACACACATTTATCATACGTTGCATGACGTAGGTCATAAGAAGTTACCCTTGAAATAACCCAACTGTGACCAAGAACCTCATTTTATAACAATGCAGCCACAGTATGCCTTTCTGCAATGTATACAGAGATGACAGATGTAGATTTAAACTTGGGCAGCTTGCGGTGGGCAGGGCCGTGTGGAGCGTTTGTGTATTATGTTGAGAATTTCTCTTTTCGTGACATTTTATGCATTGATACTTCAAACTCCATGGACATTTTTTTTCATTTTGTTGCTGTATAATTATTATTGTCCCTTTTTTACGATTTATGTTTATGTGGTACCTGAAAGCTCACTCTTCGTCGAAATGTGCACTATGTTACTATTTCTTCAAAAGCAGTTGGAACTGTGGGAACGCTGCCATAGTTTCTGTAATAAGGATAATTATCGTACAGTTTAGCCGCTTGTTGGCACCAAAGAATATGGAGACACTGAGGCAAAAAAAGCCGCAACCTCCAACAATGCATGCCATATACGTACTTGACTAATTTTTATACGTTTTTGGACTGATCCTTAGCCCTGGGACTACTTCAATTAAGGCTTCGTAAATCTATACAGTCATGATGTGTTCCTCTATGGTGTCTCTTCAATGTGAATTTCAGTGTCGCATCTGTACGTTGTTGAGAATAAAGAGTGATGTTATCCTCTACAGACCATAGACTGGTGCATGCACATCGCCTTTGTCGAGCTCGAAGTGCGCACGAACAGGTGCTCCATTCAGTGTCACCACGTGTAACTGTGCCAAAATATGCCCGAAGAATCCCTGGACATGGGGGCGTTGCTGGAGTATACAAGGGGTCTTGTATTCTTCAAGGCCAGCTGCCGCCTGAAGAAAAGCCCACTTCTAGAAACTTGGCCCCAGCGAAGCCCTCGGGTTCAAGAATTTTTCGTATCCTCGAGCTTCCTATGCCTCGTACTCTATTCGTTCGCGGGCGACCTCAAATAAGACTAAGCGTATACTATACTCGGCGACAACGTTTCTCGGCACTGAAGGGAAAGCTACGGAGGCAGAGCTTCTACACACGTACCTCTACGCGTAGAAGTTCATTTCGGCGCGCGTCTCGTAACGCTGTGTAAAGTGATGGGTTACACCATCAGCATTTCATGTAAAGTCCAAATTTCACGTAGACGCAGACGCCGCTTAGCGTTTGACGTGCACGTAAAAAGGCGGGACTTTCTCGCGCGTTCGAAAACGCGTAGTCACAACGAATAAATTGAAGTAAATACCACATATCTTAATATAGCGGGAGCTGCGTTTTGTCTGGAATAGCTCCACGTAGAAGATAAAGGGGGATATTTCATGTTTCACGTTGGAATTACGGGCGCTACTTTGGAACTACCTTCACTGCCCCGCCGTGGTGGTCTAGTGGCTAAGGTACTCGGCTGCTGACCCGCAGGGCGCGGGTTCGAATCCCGGCTGCGGCGGCTGCATTTCCAATGGAGGCGGAAATGTTGTAGGCCCGTGTGCTCAGATTTGGGCGCACGTTAAAGAACCCCAGGTGGTCTAAATTTCCGGAGCCCTCCACTACGGCGTCTCTCATAATAATGTGGGTAAGGGTAGCGTGGGGTGAGTGCATTGAGCACAGGACGGGGCGTACGCTCCCGGGTATATGCGGGAAAGAAAATAGGGGGAGGGAAGGGTGCGGGTCTGAAGGCGACGCCATAATATTTGGTGAAAATTTTTGAGGGATCGGTGGGGTGGTGGGTATAGCCGGCGTTCGGCGCGATATGACTGGGTCATCTCGTTGAACGAATGCATGCGCTCCCTGGAAGAGCCCGACTCCGTTTCCGCCGCCGCCCGGTTGATGAGACCTCGGGCGTGGTCATTGGCGGCTTCGTTGCCGGGATTTCCAGAGTGCGCAGGCACCCAGATCAGCTCCACATGGCGGTCCGGGTTTTTGGTGGGCGAGCTGAGAATTCTGAAAGCGCTCTCGTGGACTCGTCCTCGCGCGAAATTTAGGATCGCGGTTTTCGAGTCGGAAAGGCTGTCCACCAAGCCCGCGAGGCGGCTGAGGAGCTTGGCATCTCAGTCACCACGTGGGAGCTGCCCGCAACACAGTGATCTGTGTTTTGGAGGACCAAATAAAAGTTTATCCAATCCAATCCAAGGACGTACCGGGCATCAGTGTGTGCGAGGGCAAGCGCGATCGCCGCTTCTTCCGAGGATTCCGGGGTGGATGCAGGAAAAAGGTGGAGAGTTGCAATGGGTGGGAGTGTGCGATCAACGACTGCAACTGCCACGTCGTCGCCCGTGCAAGCTGCATTCACCCATACGACGTCCTCTTCAGAACCGTAGTATTTGTGGAGAGCTTTTGCACGGGCCTTGCGGCGGGCCGAATGGTAGGTAACGTGGGTGTTTCTTGGGAGAGGTTTAACTATTATCTGTGTGTGTATGGGTCGGGGGATTGGTAGAAGTGTGGGGTCGGCTGCTGGTATGTGAATATTGAGGGTGTTAAGTATGTAGCGTCCGGTGAAAGTCTGAGCTAAACGAGTGTATTGCGCTCGTCTATGGGCCTCAATGAGTTCGTGTGTGGTGTTATGGAGCCCAAGCTGAAGAAGTTTAGTGGTCTGTGTGTTAGGGGGGAGGTGTAAGGCCACCTTGTAGGCTTTATGAAGCATGGCATCCAGGGTGGCTATTTCTTCTTGTCGAAGTCGGAGATACGAGATTGTATAAAGGAAGCGGCTCAGTATGAAGGCATGAATGAGACGACACAAATCGTGTTCCTTCATGCCATAGTGTTTTCCAGAAACTCTGCGGACGAGGTGCGAGAGCGCATCCGTCATCCGCTTGAGTTTCCGGATAGTGAAAGTGTTACGGCCGTTATTTTGGATGTGAAGGCCCAAGATTCGGATTTTGTCGACCTCTGGGATAGGGCGCCCGTCCAGAGTAACGGTGATGGGGGCAGTGGGAAGAGTACGTGGTGAAGGGCGTATGAGAAGCAGCTCAGATTTTTCCGGGGAACAGGAGAGACCAATGCTTTGTGCGTGTTGTTGTGTAATGTTTGCGGCGGTTTGTAAGGTTTCCTCTATGTCGCCATCACTACCGTGGGTGGTCCACAGTGTAATGTCATCTGCATAGAGGGTGTGGTGAAGGTGAGGGATATTGTGAAGAGCGCGGGCTAAGGGAATGAGTGTGGCATTGAAGAGAAAAGGGGAAAGGACCGAACCTTGCGGAGTGCCTACACCACTGAGGGTATATGGAGGGGACGCATGGGGGCCCATATGAACTATGAACCTCGGCCGTGCGTCCTGATAGGAAGGCTTGTATGTAGGCGTACATACGAACGCCCACATTGAGGGGGGAGAGAGCCGCCATGATCGCTCGGTGTTCTACTCGATCAAAGGCCTTGGTTAAGTCCAGGGCCAAGACGGCTTTAGTAAGAGCGGGGATGAGAGGATCAAGAATGCCGTGCGTCAGTTGAAGCATGGCATCTTGGGCGGAGAGACACGGGCGGAAGCCCACCATGCTGTGCGGGTATAGGTTGTGGTCGTGCATGTGTTGAGTCAGTCTGTTTAAAGCAACGTGCTCGAGAAGCTTCCCGAGACACGATGTGAGTGAAATGGGGCGGAGGTTTGATATGGTAAGGGGTTTGTTAGGTTTAGGGATGAATACAATCTTGGCATGGCGCCAGGATTGCGGCAAGGTGCCTTCCTTCCAGCATTTATTAAAGTAATCTGTAATCTGTGCAATCGATTGATCATCCAGATTGCGGAGCATGGAGTTAGTTATCCCGTCTTTCACCGGTGCAGAGCTTGTTCGGATGTTCTGGAGGGCCATACGGACCTCTTGCTCCGATATGTCGTTGTCCAGGGCTTCATTCGGGGCTCCCGTGTAGGGTGGGAGAGGGGAGGAGGTGCCGGGTGCCGTGTGTGTTGTGCGTAGTTGGTCCAGAAGGGTGTCAGGGGAAAGCGTGGAGTTGTGAAGTAGGCGTGCAATGTGATGTTGTGACGTTGTGCGTGAGTGTGTTAAAAAGGCGGGACTTTCTCGCGCGTTCGAAAACGCGTAGTCACAACGAATAAATTAAAGTAGATACCACATATCTTAATATAGTGGGAGCTGCGTCCTGTCTCGAATAGCTCCACGTAGAAAATAAAGGGGGAAATTTCATGTTTTATGTTGGAAATACGGGCGCTACTTTGGAACTACCTTCACTGGCAATAGTATTTGGCACCGTATAGCCTTCCCTTCATTGCCAAGAGAAGTTGTCGCCAAGTAGTAGCTCCCTAATCTCTTCTACCTCCCCCTCGCTCGCTTATGTTCGTTTGCGACACTGATTACGCAATTTTAGAGCAGAATTCACAAAGCTACGCGTTAGTGTTTGTCGCCACTGCGCATGCGTCATTCGCTAATCTTCTGCGGGCCCCCGTGAAGTGACGGAAATTAGACTGAGCAAACGGCCATTGTGGCTGACTGTGGTCGAAAGTACAACTTAGTAAATTAATTACGCTTACCTCCAGCTCCTTCGAAATGTCCAGCAACGACTATTTCAGGCTTCACACAATGAAGAAAAGGAAAGGGACAGCAGCAGTCTATCGTGGCCGTGGCTCTAATGATCTATCAGCCATGTACGATAAGTCGCGGCCTCGCCAAACGACCGCTCAGCACGAGTATAAACTGGTGCAAACTGGAAAGAACTGGATAAGAGGTTAAATTCCGAGTCTCGCCGGTTGCGCACAGACGCCAAGCACATGTACGAAGCGCACTTCCCATCTTGTGCAAGAATTTCTTTTCGTGAGCATCGCGAACCGCATACACCAGAAGCAAGTTTTATCTGTGGGAACGTGAATCTCTGAACATTCCGGCAAATGCCGTTTCACATGCCGCGATTGCAGCGAAAAAAAAAAAAATCGTTCCGTTCGCTCCAAACGCTCTGTTCTCAACAGTCGCTAAATGGCGGCTTCGTTTCACATGGACCGCGAACGGTCCGCGATTTTCGCTCTGCGACTGGATCGGTGAGTTCTTGCCACCGCTCATTGTGACAGAAACAAACGTAATGTAACAATATGTGCATTATGGTATCACGAAGTTACCGTGAACGGCAACGAAGGGCCCGCTTGTTTTGTCATTTAAAAACACTTTCCAGTCTGAACTCATTTTAAAATGCACAGCATCGGCCATTACCAAAACAAACACGTCGACTCGATTTCGACGGCTTGGCCGGACCAGCCCTATTTCGACGGGTCCCGACCAAAAAACGCTCCCGCCGCTGCGATCAGAGCGAAGATTTCCAACATGTTGGAAGCTCGCCGCGGACCGCTGCGGCGGCAGCGAACTGCCCATTTTTTCGCTGCGAGCGAATTCGCAGCCTGAAAATCGCTACTTTTTGTGTCATGTGAAACGGCCTTAAGACTGCCACTACTTGAGCTGTCGACAACTTGCAGCATCGTTATTCTCGGGAGGGATTCTCGCAGTGTCCGATTTGCCGGAGCGCGTTCAGGTTACGGCGAGTCACGACGTCATTGGGCGCTTGACCACGTCGGCGCACCGAACCCGCCAGCACATTCCCTTCGTAGAAATGAACTAATACAGTAACAAGATTATTAAACAAACTTGACTAGTCTGCACGTGTGTATGAACGTTTTGATACGTTTCGAAGATTGATGCAGGGAATATGTACAGACCTTTAGAGGCGTCAGACGATTAAACCTAATT